CCCCCCCCCCCCCCTTCCCCCGCCCTCGCATCTGAAGCATCTGAACAAGAGTCCCCAATCGGAGAAAGAATGCTGTGATACTCAAATCGGAGAGTTATTGTGTAAATGTTGGAAAGGGTCAAGTGTTGGACGTCCGTTCTCGATTTTTTTTCACGAATGACGATGGCAAAACTGGCCTCATTGTACATGTTGAATATGAAGAAATCGTTGTCGATGAGGAACTTTGTCGTTCTCGGCATGTTCCTCTTGAATTGGTTCAGGGAGACCGAGTCAAACACGAGTATGGCCAAAGATGGTTGTTCCTGAACATGAGCTCGATAACAGGGGTGCCTCTTCAGCAACAACAAGCTAGTTTCTTTTCGTCTTTTGTCTCTGCGACGCTCGTTCCCTTGATCGAATAACCAAAAAAACTAAACGCAGCGAGGACATTAAGAGCTGATCTAATCCGAGCGTAGTCAACTGTATGAAATGACCGAACTCGTCATTGATCGGCTAGGAACAAAAAGAAACGACACAAAGTGTCTAGCTGGAGACCAACGAACCGGATCGCTTCTCACGAATTTCTGCTCCTCTCCTTCTTCCTGAAAAAGAACTTATCGCCATATAAACCACTACACCGAACACCAAAAGCTGCAACAATATCAATAGATGGGTCAAGTTCTTCCCATACTAGAAACATGCCAAAACGAAGTTGCTCTACGGTCTCGTTAACGTTTTTAAAGGCATTCAAATTGTAAAGATTTGAAGGAATGAGCTCACCGTATAAGTAGGCACGTTGACGAATGCCTTTCTGTAAAGCACATCTTTTGGCGAACTGCGATTACATTCCACAACGAACTGATTGCGGCGGATTGCAATGGCTTCGTTGAAGTTCACCTGTATACTAAGATAAGTTCTGTCGAGATCAGAAATTCATTCCGTCTAGGCTACTTTGCCCATTTTCGTTGTAAGACTGACTATGGTTTCTAACCTTTGTGGGCTCACCTATAATGACCTTGCCAGCTGTGTTGTTCGACAGCGGGTGATAGTAGCACCTGCAAAACGAGTTTTTGAGTTTTTTCGTGGAANTCGAAATATTTTTTCTCGTGAGAAGTGCTTCAATAATGGTTGTGGAGACGAAAAATTGAAATGAGTATCAGGTGCGGATATTGTTTAAGCATATGATAATCAGGGAGTTCAGAGAATAGCCCTATTGACCTTCCCTCTAGAGTTAATTCGCCTGGTCCACCGATACGGATAATCGTGGTATCGTGAAATGAATGCGCAAAACAGTAGGTGTGCTGTTTCTTGTGTAGATTCCTTGTTTTTTTGTATATGGGCCCCAACCGAATAAGAATTACGTAAACGGTTAGATGTTATAGTTATTCACCTCCATGAATGCCATTTATGTTTGCTATGAGCCATGCATAGCAATCAGAACTTGTTCGTATCCTCAATAAATGGGAATATGGAAGAAGTAACCTGAGTTTCAGCTCTGCTACACAAGTTTTGTGCTGTGGGTGACACGGTCTACTACGTAGACCTCACAGACAGATCTGTTTGAAGATCGGTTTTTCCTCTAATGTAATCAATCATCCAATTGAGACTTGCAACGAATTTAGTTCGGTTTCCATCCAAAACGATTCCGTCGGTTCTGTGAGAATTAGTAGGTTCATACATAGCCGACCCAGCGCGAAATGTGGCCGAAAGTCACTACTTTGTAAGAAGTTCTGTGAAAAGGTTGAAAAAGTGATAACCCTACACAGGCCGCAGTCATTTTTTGCAATACTTCTGAACTTTGCAATCCAGAATCCATAGGCTGAATGCTATCCTTTCTTTTTTCGAGACCTTTTCTGATCCCACTGTATCTGCTCCTTGTTTCCGCCTCTTTACAAAAATAAACTGAATAAAATTATTAAATAAAATGAAAATAAAAAAGGAAAATATGAGTAAATAAATATAACAAAATATACTACACAAGACGATGTACGATTCAGCAGTTCTTCTCCAAGGCAAACCAGTCTACCGACATACTATACTCTCCGATTCTGAGTTGACCAAAAGAAAACAAAAAAATGCAGTCAACGTTATAGAATTCCGACTAAGACGGCTTCGTCCTGGATTGCTCCCATGAAATCCCCCTCCCCCCTCCCCTTGCGTAGAACAAGTAGTATCCAGAGGTGTAACCAGTCCAAACGAAAGTCTACAGCAAACTTGACCCCACCAAACGGGATTGACCAAGGTCATTAATTTTTGATCTAAAGAAGAAAAAAGAATCTTACGATATATTTGTATCCATAATCAGTCTTCCACCAGTATTCGGTTGCGATAATTCTAGAAATCCATACTCGTCCAAGAATGCAAATGGCTCCATAGCGGTGTTGCATTTGATTGATCTTTAATTTAAAGCCTTTAAATAGGCAATAGATTTTTCCTTCTAAAAACTGTGCACATGAGGCATGCTCTATTTCTTGCTTTTTTTGTTGTGAAATTCTTGCAAACAAATACCAAAACTCATTTCTTTTCATAAAACAAAAAGCCGTCCAACCTGAAGCGAGGGCTAGCATTCGACAGACTAACAAGCACAGGCCGCAGCAGTGGCCATTTGCACTCGTTTTCCAAGATGGAACTCACTGCTGAAAAACGTACTTGTCATAAACTGGCTAATCTCCGGTGGTCGAAGTGAAGAAGTTGATTTTGGAAGAAAATTACTTCCGAATTCTATTATACGTCGAGTAAAGGCAATAAAAGGAGAAACGAATGGCAACGAAAAGATAAAACCTAACCTGACGGTGGGATCGTTAGGGAGAATTCGTCCATTGTATCCACAGTGTACACATAAGTGAGAAATTTGTGATTATTGTAAAAATAAAATGACACGATTAAAACGCATGCGACGATAATCCACGACTGAAAATAAAAAATTTCAAGGAAGGGTTGTGAAAAAGTCGGTGTTAGAAGGGACTCACCCAAATTTGAGTACTGACAGTCATCCTACTCGGCGTCCGTTTCCTATGCAGAAATCAAGTTCAGTTCTGTCTAACGACTCAGCCCTCGGTCAATGCCCAGACGGGAGTGATGGCTTTCTCGTTAGGCGATGCTTCAACGAAAACCCCTCAAAAACAATAGGAAAGGAATACTCGATAAACGACCGGTCCAACATTTGCTTGACAGAATTTTACGAGAAGAAACTACATGGGAAGATGGCAAAACCCAGAGCGAAGTGTTGTATCTGAAAAGGGGTCGTTTCCTGAAATAATGGGGACAAGCAAGTGGTCATCAAGTGAAAAACGGTTGACCAGAATCAAAACCGGACACGTTACGTTGTGCCCCTTTGCAGGGTGAACATCAAGAAAGGACAAGGACAGGGCGGATGGTGACCAAGTTCGCCTTCATCCGGTTTTACGCATGGTTTCCATCAGCAATTGTGAATATAAACATTTTTTTTGTTTTTCTGGCCTGACCATGTCAGCCCATAGACGGCGTTTATTGTTACTCGTCCCTTTTGCAGCAGTTTCCCTCGCTCAGCTTAATCAAGTGAGAACTACTATTATGTAAGGGAGTTATTCGCTAAAGATGGAGAAGTGGCGTGAAATCCGAGAACTATGTATGATGCGTCCGCCCTGCTTTACCTTTGCCTAAGGAATCCTAGCCTGCAGTGGTGATCTAAACAAAAAATCGGAAGTTGTTGTACCAAAGTGTAGCACCAACCGGTATGATTTTAGAAGGATTGGACTGGGAACAGGAGACTGGTAGTTAGCGATTTGCGCGATATATTCTGTTAGGTAGATCGTTAGGCACATCGAAGTACATACCTTTCTTCTTTCTTCGAAAATGCGCCCTGTAATTGTACTTTGCTCTTTTCCTCTCTACCCCTCCGTTTGATTGTGGATGTTTTGTTCGAGAGAAAGTTCTGCCAGTTTTTAGTTCTCCCTACTTCCCTTCCACTCATCGTAGCTGCTTTCATGAAGGTGCTAACTAAAAAACGGCAGTTTTACAAACCATACAAATTTTTTAATTTATTATATATAATGCGAGGTACTGAGCATTTTTTGCCAAGGGCGAGTGGTGAGTTAGGAACTGCCCTTGAACTGCTCTTTCAGACGCCAATGTTTGTTTTTACTCTGATTGAGTTCACTAGTTATGGGGTTGGAAGCGTCGAATCGACGCATAAATAAATGAATAAACTCTGAAGGACATATTTTTACTTCTGGCAGAGGCCTGATGAGCCCCTATCTTCGTCGGTTTGCTAATTATCGCTTTGTCAAATGAAATTGGGTTGGACTGGAAATTAACGAAGCCATATGAAGAAAACTCTAAATTAGCTACCCGGAAAGCACGGCCTAATAGTTAGAACACGGCCACCCGGAAATGATGAATGGATGGAATTCTTATTACTTTTCGGCACGACCAAAAACCAAGGAAAAGTATAGCGGGTGGCGATAGAAGGAAAGCGACACTACCGCAAGCACTTCCACGAGACTATCGGCGTTTAGTTGTTTGGGACTCGGAGAGAAGACAGCAGGAAGGCTGAAGGAAAATTAATAGAGACAGCGATTTTCACTGCCCGATGTGAGGGCGATATTTTAGAAATGAGCAGAATCCTATCATACCTGCCAAGCATAGTAATCTGATAGGTGGATTCAGAAAAGAAATTCGGAACACTGTTTCGGAACGGACTGAAATTTTGAGGAGAAATGAGTAAAGGTGAACAGATGAGGAGGAGATTGGCCGATTCAATGGAGGTAAAACCTTGATCAGACATGGCTCGCTCTACATCCAGCTGAACGAAACTCTGGCTACACCAAATTCTTTCTCTATCTATGCGATCCTGTTTTGCAAACTCGGTGTTCTATCCTTCCAGCGAACCTTTCATTTATACGTATCCAAGGATAGGAGATCTAGCTTCCCTGGAAAAGAGGAGCTGGAAACGATTGTGTTCTACCAAATCAAAAGTATGGCGACTTCATCGTATTTCTTTCTTCAACTTTTTCTTTAATTGAATTTGTCGTCATGAGTTTTAATGAATTATCGGAGAAATTGAGATCATCCAGTGACCGCCTGTTGATTGAAAACAGATGTCCATCCATTTGTATTTTTGAACAGAATCAATGCATCTACTCTCGCTATACCTAGAACTTCATAGAAATGTCCTACTTTGATACTTATCAGCAAATGACACTCGCATCCTTCGTTTATGATTCTATGAATCCTGATTCTGCGGCGGAGAAGTGCAGGCTGATGTTATAAAAGCGATTAAATAGAAACCTAGCATTAAGCACTGGAAGCGGAAGTATTGGGCGATGATATGCACATGCTTGGACAGGTCAGGGAATGTTTTTTGTATGTCTGTAGGCCAACTGCATTTCGTTGCAAAACAGAACTATAACCTTGACATGAGCGTATGTTTGAACATAAGCATGTGGACGAAAACTAAAAACTATTGAACTATACAAAGGTTCATAAATAGGCGAAAATATGAAATCTGACAACAAAGTGTGTCCATTATTGCAAATTTTTCAAGTTTTTTTTTCCAGTTCTTTTAGTTTTCCTCTACTCACGTAATTCCGACTAATAAACATGATTTCTAGGCACGAAAAAGTATACTAGTCACGTTTATAGACGTTTATAGGAATGGAATGACATATTATGCCGTCTTGGCGAGAACCATCTCCAGATATGCAGTAAGCTCAAACTTCATATGGATTCATTTGCACGGAAAACCTGGAACTGTCTTGAAGTTGCACAACTATCCAACCTCTGCTCATTATTCCTCGTAAAGAGAAGCCGCTTATCTTAATGAGATTGAGTCAGCCGTGCTTCTTGTAGTTTTTCAATTTTTGAGAAGGTATCGTTCCGACGTTTCCAGGATGTTCCGACATTTCCAAAAAACAGTCCACTATGGCACCTGAGTACAGCAACATGCAGCCAATTCTCTGGCAGTTCTCGAGCGATTCGATGCAATGTAGATGAACCAATGCCTGTAGCAACCGAAACAGTAGATTCCTCTTCCTTCTTCTTCTGTGAATCAGTCTGAGAAGATTCTCGATTGACGTTGCAACTGTACTCTTTGCTTAAGTTCCCATAAAGGCTTAGCGATCCATGATCGCCCCATTTCCATTTCCACATGCAGGTAAACAAGTATGCCGGATCAAATACTCGGGTCTAGGTCTTACGCCTTGGGATCATATTTAGATCAAAGAGGCACCTAACTTGGCCCGGCCGGGAACGGCTGCGGCCGGTTGCATTACCTAGACTGACTATGCGCCTTGCTGTGCTACAATGTATAGATGAGAGATCGATGCACAAATGCAGCACTCTCAAGATCTCATGTATTCTTAGGTGGCTCAGGTCAACTCGGCGTAAATTCTTGGTCTGTATGCTATGGCTCGTTGTTCTGAGCTTGTGGTCGCTGAGTTAGGGGATGTTCCCTCCTGGTATACATTATTATGGTACCGCTACTATTGCTTCGTTTCTTTTTTACAAGTACTGTCTGCATTGTTTATTTCTTTCGTCGTCTAATGTTCGAATAATACTTTTCTGATTTGTTCGAGTGCAATTTGAATAAGTAAATAAATAAATAAATAAATATGCTTCTCTTCAGAACTCCAAATTCGTCCTGCACGTGGACTTGGCAGAGCACACGAACAGTCATGGTGTCGTAGCGGTCACTAGTTGATATCAGAGACTTTTCCTAAAGTCTCCCCATGTGTTCATGGAACTTCTCGCGCATCTCCTTAGCTATTTGTTATTTATTCGCTATGTATTTGTTCACGCATTAAAAAGAAATTCGTATTTACCCTCTCATCAACTGAACACGTTCACAGAAACTGAATTGAGCATGGCTTGTCGAAAAATTAAGTAGTCTCAGTGTAAGGGAGCTAGCATGTGAGAAAAAGGGAGAATTTGAATAACTTTTCGACTGTTTGGTGATTTTTGTTTCCATTTTCTTTCTCCTCAATTGGCAAGTTATTTTTTGTAATGATTTGTAAGAAAGCAAAAAGCAAATAAATCAGTGAAACTAATTTCTGTGGGCATTTACACAGGATTGCGTGAATGTGATACGACCAAAGATAATTTGACTGTAGTTAAGCAGTACCTTTTCGGAATTTCTTTGTACATACAATATCCTTTGTTTTACACTCTAGAACTACAAGTGAACGTGCATGGGTTAACTTTCGACCAATAAAGAAATACTCAAAAGGAATTGCGGGTTCAGAAAGGTTCAACAAGTTCGCATGATGGAGACTATGATATCATTTCTTCCCTTTGCGAAATTAGACGTTTTTGAGCTGAAGATTAGTGGGTTAGAAGAGTGCAGTGGGTAAACGTTCATCGTGCTAATATCCTCTGAAGTTTTAACCCATTGGCGACCGCGCCTTTTTAACGTGTCTGGCGTGGGGGACCGAGCGCGTTTTTCGCGGGCTGCTGCTGTGGCCCGGTGGCGGGCCACACGGTCCCTGGAGCAAACTTACTTTTTGTGTACACATTCACAAAACAAAAAATTTTATAAAAATGGCAAGGAAGAAAAGATAAGTTGTACACAACAAACAGTGCTGTCGTCATGGCATCCATTGTTACTTTTTAGTGTTCTGAAAGATATAGGAAACTTCTACAAAATTGTCTCTAAATGTGCCCTAGCTCCGACTCCATCGAAACTCAGAGAAACATATAAAATCAGAATGGCTTATTTCAAATCATCGGCTACACTGTGGCGATCTATGACTTACAAATTTGGGAAAGGCGATGAAAAAACACACACTTTCATCTGACATCACTTTCATCATAGAACAGCTGTAAATTTCTTCGGCACAGAAAAGCTGTATGAACTCCTAAAGAATTTAAAAAGAGCTGAACATCTGAGCTTTACTTTGGAATTCTTCAAAAGCAGCCACCTGTGAAGACCGGATATAAATGCCCGAGCATGACACCCGTCCAATCATGGTTTTACTCATATTCCCTTCGCTTTAGTAGTTTAGTATTTTGCAATCAA